TTGAGTGGAAAAATGCAAGCAATGTTCAGAGAAGCATTCCTAACTATCTGGTCAGTAAAGGCCATGTAGACTCAAGGAATCTCGAGGTTCCAGTGTTCAAAACTATACCTTTTTTGAGTTTTCTGTCAATGCCACAGAGGCTGACATTCTGTAAAACAGAATCTCCTATGGTCAGGATGCTTAGTGGATGACACTGAAGACAAGTTGCCACTGCAAGTTATTCATTCATTCATTTAATGTATTATTTACAGTTTTTCTCAATCAATTTGACACATTTCTCCAAACTCAGGTCACTGTTCTCAAAACAGTTAACACAGTGGTCTGAATACTTTGTAATTGTCTTAAACAGATTTTACGTTTATTTGTACGTTTTCATTCATTTCATACAAATTACAAATCATGCAAATAATTTTCTCAAAACAATGGGCACAAAACTCTCAAATGTTTTCACAATAGTCCATACAGCCAAACAAAACTTTAATGTATTAAGAAAACACAATTGCAACATTATTTATTGGTTTTACACTAATCACAAAAATCTATGTACAATTTTTCCAAACACAACAAAGCTCTTTCATTTGTTAATTTTTCAGTTGCACTTGGTATGTTCTCAATTAGCCCCAAATTGATAACTACTAAATTAGTAATTCAAACAACACAGGAAATGCAGATTTCCTAATTGTTTACACATTTATCTTTATTACAACAATTGTAAGAAGACATGAACGAAGAGGAAGGGGAGGGAGGATAGGTAGAGGGTACAGACGGGTTTCAAATGATATCAGAGCCACCCTGATTGACCATGTTATAAATCATGGTGGTCTCTACTTCAGAGAAGCTGGCCAGAGAGTTCAGCCAAACATAAATCGATCAACAGTGGCTTCAATTATCTGTGCATTTCAGAGGGAAAACTAGTAAGTAGCTCTACCATTCTGGTTATATGACTCTAGTCTAGAGTCTTGTCCATTTCTAGTTCTGTTCTCTACTGTAAATGTTTCTACTTGTTCAATTTTTGTTCAGAATTGAAGTTTGAGAACATTTTGGTGGATGAACAAGACTATTTTCAAATGAACAAGAACATGCCATTGTTGACATGGTGGTCCAAAACAACACAATCCACCTCAAAGTAATCCAGCAAAGAATAATACAGAACAATCAACTATTTTATAATATTCATCAATGCAGTCTTGCCATAACTGATTGTGTTCTAAGAAGAAATGCCATCCGGATGAAGCAAATATACAAAGTGCCATTTGAGAGTAACTCTGATAGAGTGAAGGAGTTGCGATTCCAGTTTGTTCAGTTATGTGAAAGCCACACAATTACTGCACATTTACTGTAAAAAAAGAAATATATATATTTCCTGGAGATTATATGTCCATATACAATTACACTCTGGAAAAAATCAGTCATCTCTATGTATACAGTAATGCTGTGTCAAAGTGGGAGAACTCAATGTTCTGCGACATTTTCTTTTTTCCTTTTTAAACTCTAGAGGATTTTGGAGTTGGAAATTTCGTAGTTATCTGGGACAAGGTCCAATTTCATCATTCAGCACTGTTGCAAGGGTGGTTTGAACATCACCCACATTTCAGAATGGGGTTCCTTCCTCCATATTCTCCTTTCCTGAATCCAATTGAGGAGTTCTTCTCTTGGAGATGGAAAGTCTACGATCGCAACAACCAAGTGAGTCTTCTTCAAGCAATGAAAGAGGCCTGTGGAGATGTTGAGGCAGAAGCTTGTCAAGGATGGATTCAACATTCATGCCATTTTTCCCACGATGCATGGCTCGTGAGAATATACATTGTGATGTAAATGAAATTCTTTGGCCAGATGTAATTGAGAGGCATGATCAATAAAGTTAATTGTTTTAGTGATTGCAGTGCATTCATTCATTCATTCATTCATGCATTAATTTTTTTGTCAGAAACTCATTGAAGAACTTTGCGATAAACATGTATTTTCATTAGCTTATTTGTGCATCTACCACTGAATACAGTTCTCTATTGATTATAAACCGGAACCGGGAACACTTCCCATAATACCCAATAAACGTAATCGCATCTACGGTGTAAGAAGAATACCATCTATGATAACATTATTATGTTTCTTATTCCAAGGTCATCATAGCCACCTGGATCCAGTCTGTATCTAGATTAGATGGTCACTGTAGTCACCCGGAGACTATGACAACTAGATGAGCCCTAGAGAGAGATCCCCTGTGTAGACCTCATCAATTAGATGGCCATTGGCACAAATCCCCAGCAAAGACCACGAGAACTGATGAGTCCTCTGCACAGACCCTTTGGTCAGCTCTGACTCTTTCACCATGTGATGTATTCAATCTTTAAGCGGAAGGAACTGGATCGATGTTCTGAAAGATGCCAGTCCACAATCTTGTGTTGCAGCCTGGAATGCAACCACACCATGTTGGTTTGACAAATTATAAACAAATGATAATTTTTTTAGCTGCACATTTCTGTACCTTATTTTCTCATTTTATTATAAGACAGGTTTGTTATAACAATTTAACCATGCTTTAAAAACAAAAGAAAACAACTGAGATTTCGACAGAGTCCAAACAAAGCCACAGCAGAACAGCGTCCTCTACAAGCAACACAAGGAAGCCTTTCATATTGAATGATTCACTTTATTCTTCACTGAATGAACCAGCCATTTGAATGATTTAATGTCTTACTCTAAAGATAGAAACTTAAGATACTTGTTAATTTTCATATTGTTGCTATATTCAAACTTTATATATTTAAAACATTAATATGATCATGTTATGCAATTATATATGTAGCTATGTAAATAAACACAATATGCAAATAAATCATTGTGTATATCAAATCCACCTGGCCTCTGTAACTGTCTCCTCTGTAACACTATAGTTTTCATTAATCAGTAGTCAAATCTAGCCTAGTCAATGCAAAAACATTACATTCATTCAAAATTAATTTACCAATTTACTCATTTAATGTTAATGGATTGCCAGGTAGGCATACAGCAGTGACAGACAGATACATATAGCATTGTCAACCTTTTTATTTGGACAGTGTATGATTTCTATTAACATTACAGAATAGAACATGATCAATATTATCTTTCAACGTTCAATTTAAATAATTGTAATTGCACAAACTATGTAGGCTACAATTTCAATTTGTTTATTGTGAAATAACTCAACCATTTATGTTTTTCTTTTCTCTGTCCTCTGATAAGCATTGGTCAGGGCTGCCATTCCCAACAGCTTTAATGCTTTCTTATGATACTTTTGGGAAACGCAGCCCTGTTTGAATGCACTGTCAGCAGTGAGTGAATGCTCTCTGTGATTGATTGGTTCTGTCTTGCAACATTTGCGTGTGTTCAGATGAGCAGGAAAATAGTTCTATCCTACACAATTACTCGCTAACAAGGGTTATTCGTCCAATTCAATGCTTATTGTACGCATTATTATTATTATTATTTTTTTGTTAAATAAACAAAACCACTGGTAAAAAAAAAACGCACCTTAGTATCGATATTTTTGTTTGAGTATCGATACTTTCGATACTCGCGTCAGTATCGATATATTGATACTTCGGATCGATACGGCCATCCCTACTTTCAAGATGCATGTCGCGTTCGGTTACGACAGTCAAGGCGATGAAACTCTCTCCGAGAGCGCACAGTTGAAGTTTAAAACTGTTAAAAGAAAAGGCTCAATAAACTACAGAACAGATTTAATACACTACGCATCAATATCTCTTCTTTCTGCTTTGAACTTTTCTATGCGGAGCGCTGCGCGCTTTGACTCCGTGTTGCTTCAAGCGCATCATTCTGCGCACAGGATGGGCATAAGCGCTTTGTGTCGCTCCTTTCATACTGTACACTCTCTACGAGAGCGCACAGTAAATTTACTTTACAACTGTTAAAGGCTCAATAAACTACAGAACAGATTTAATACACTACGCATCAATATCTCTTCTTTCTGCTTTGAACTTTTCTATGCGGAGCGCTGCGCGCTTTGACTCCGTGTTGCTTCAAGCGCATCATTCTGCGCACAGGATGGGCATAAGCGCTTTGTGTCGCTCCTTTCATACTGTATTATAATACTTAAATGATAGGGCAGAACAAGAAAGGCTATTAATAATCTAATGAATGACTCATTCATTCATAGGACAGAACAAGAAAGGCTATTAATAATCTAATGTATAGCACAGTAATGGAGGCAACAACATATGATAGATAGGATTGGTACCGAGAACCGTGGATTTTCACTGGTATTGGTACCGAATACTGAAATTTTGGTACCGTGACAACACTAGATTTAATAAACTACGCATCAATATTTCTTTCCTTTGTGCTTTGAACTTCTTTATGCGGAGCTGCGCGCTGTGACTCAATGTTGCTTCAAGCGCATCATTCTGCGCACTGGATGCGCATAAGCGTTTTGTGCCGCTCTGTATTGGAGCTTTTCGTATTATATAATACTTTTGCGCAATGAAAGATTATTTATAGCGTTTCTTGTTCTGTCCTATAAGGCTATTAATAATCTAATGTATAGCACAGTAATGGAGGCAACAACATATGATAGATAGGACTCTTATCTATCATGTTGAGGTCTCATTACAGCTATACATTTAAAAGAAATGCATTTTAATGTTATAGTATATATTTATATATAAATAAATATATTTACTTGTTTTTTTATTAATGTATTTTACTACAATAAAAAGAACAATGTGTAACATTTTACCAGATTTAGTCCTATACACTTGTTCACTTATTTATTTCCCACTAATGTTATTTCACTAAAAGTTTACATTTTATAAAATTATTGTGCACTCGTGATTTTTCTAGAATGACCTATGTTGCTGGATTATCCACTAACAATTTATAATAGTATTATCTTCAGAGATTATGATTATATATTTTTTATTTGTTATTTTTCATTAAAATTATGTTGTCTATATTTGGTAGATTGTGTTTAACACACAAAAGAAGAGACGATCAGGTCAACACACAGAAGTACATTAATTCTACGTTGATTTAAAAAAAAAGTGCTGGTATCGGTATCTGTATCGACCGATACTCAATTTTTAGTATCGGATCGGTTCTAAAAAAAAATTGTATCGTTTTTTCATTTATTTTCATTTCATTTATTTATGATTATATATTTTTTATTTGTTATTTTTCATTAAAATTATGTTGTCTATATTTGGTAGATTGTGTTTAACACACAAAAGAAGTGACGATCAGGTCAACACACAGAAGTACATTAATTCTACATTGATTTAAAAAAATGTGCTGGTATCGGATCGGTATCTGTATTGACCGATACTCAGAATTTATAGTATTGGATCGGCTTGGTTCTAAAAAAAAACAATCGTTGCATCCCTAATTTATTATTTTTATTTATTTAGGATATATTTTTTCACATTCCGATTCCAATGTCTAAATATTCTTAAGAATAAAACATTTTTTGTTCTTTGAACAAGTGTACTTGTAGCATTATGCTATTATATTGTCATACTGTCATTAATCAGTGGCATAAAATGGTCTTAAAATGACAATAATATAATTTATCGTAATTAATTTTGGTCCAATATATCGCACAATAAAAATGATTTATCGTGACAGCCCTACACCCATGGACATCCTTTACCTCCTGTTCACCTCACACCAGCTTCAGACTGCCCAGGCTGTATTCGAACACTTACTACAATGATTGATCACTGATCAGAAACGTTATGTCTGTAGGGTTGGGTACCGAAACCCGGTGCCAATATTGCACCTATGAAACCGGTATGTACTAGAACCGAATCAGAATGCAGATTTCGGTGCCACTTAAATGCATGAGCGATCAATTGAAATATTTGTTCTCTGGTTCTCCGAAACGGACGTAAGGCTTACCGGCACCGCACGTGTAAAATAATTTCCCGACTGAGAAAATTAACGAACGCAATTCGGAAAGCTCTAATAATACAAATCCAACACATCTTTGTAGTAACACGAGTGTCCATGTTGTTTTCACATTCCGACGTAAAAGCACAACTTGGGAAATGAGAGCATCCGAGGAGCGCGTGAATGCAGCAATTACACTTGCTTTGATGGCAGCAGGTAGATACCGTTAGCTAGCTAAGCTAAACATTCTTAAATTAAAATGCTTAAAGCTAAACTTCCCTTGTAATGACTTGCAGTGAGAAGCGTTTCTCAACCTGTTGTCCAACAAAAGAGAACACTATAACGTTTTTACTCCACAACTGCTTCATTTAGTGATCTGATGTGGCTTCTTGTCACAGAATGAGGCAGAAAACATGGTCTATACTGTAAAAAGGCTATGTCGATTAGCAGTTAATTAAAAATATATTAATTATGATGAAAATACCAGCGATGGCTTGAATAACACCGACAAACTATACATTGTCACAGTCGAGTGTTTATTGTCTTTGTTATCTTCTGCTTACTCAGTTACAGCGATAGCAATGCCTTTGTCCATATTAGCAAAGAGTATAGGGATTTCCTGAGTCCTATTCCTTTTGTGATGCACATGTGGAGTTTATGCGCGAGGGCGCCCTCTGGCATCCAGTATGAATGAAACAGACATTAAATGTGACCCTGGACCTCAAAACCAGTCAAAAGGGTACATTTTTTGAAATTGAGATTTATATATCATCTGAAAGCTGAATAAAAAAGAGTTCCATTGCTGTATGGTTTGTTAGGATAGGACAATATTTGGCCGAGATACAACTATTTGAAAATCTGGAATATGAGGGTGCAAAAAAAAAATCAAAAATACTGAGAAAATCACCTTTAAAGTTGTCCAAATTAAGTTCTTAGCAATGCATATTACTAATCAAAAATTAAGTTTTGATATATTTACGGTAGGAAATTTACAAAATATCTTCATGGAACATGATCTTTACTTAATATCCTAATTATTTTTGGCATAAAAGAAAAATCGATAATTTTGACCCATACAATGTTTTTTTTGGCTATTTCTACAAATATACCCAAGCGACTTAAGACTGGTTTTGTGTTCCAGGGTCACAAATGTGTTTATATAATACAAATCCAACACATCTTTGTAGTAACACGAGTGTCCATGTTGTTTTCACATTCCGACGTAAAAGCACAACTTGGGAAATGAGAGCATCCGAGGAGCGCGTGAATGCAGCAATTACACTTGCTTTGATGGCAGCAGGTAGATACCGTTAGCTAGCTAAGCTAAACATTCTTAAATTAAAATGCTTAAAGCTAAACTTCCCTTGTAATGACTTGCAGTGAGAAGCGTTTCTCAACCTGTTGTCCAACAAAAGAGAACACTATAACGTTTTTACTCCACAACTGCTTCATTTAGTGATCTGATGTGGCTTCTTGTCACAGAATGAGGCAGAAAACATGGTCTATACTGTAAAAAGGCTATGTCGATTAGCAGTTAATTAAAAATATATTAATTATGATGAAAATACCAGCGATGGCTTGAATAACACCGACAAACTATACATTGTCACAGTCGAGTGTTTATTGTCTTTGTTATCTTCTGCTTACTCAGTTACAGCGATAGCAATGCCTTTGTCCATATTAGCAAAGAGTATAGGGATTTCCTGAGTCCTATTCCTTTTGTGATGCACATGTGGAGTTTATGCGCGAGGGCGCCCTCTGGCATCCAGTATGAATGAAACAGACATTAAATGTGACCCTGGACCTCAAAACCAGTCAAAAGGGTACATTTTTTGAAATTGAGATTTATATATCATCTGAAAGCTGAATAAAAAAGAGTTCCATTGCTGTATGGTTTGTTAGGATAGGACAATATTTGGCCGAGATACAACTATTTGAAAATCTGGAATATGAGGGTGCAAAAAAAAAATCAAAAATACTGAGAAAATCACCTTTAAAGTTGTCCAAATTAAGTTCTTAGCAATGCATATTACTAATCAAAAATTAAGTTTTGATATATTTACGGTAGGAAATTTACAAAATATCTTCATGGAACATGATCTTTACTTAATATCCTAATTATTTTTGGCATAAAAGAAAAATCGATAATTTTGACCCATACAATGTTTTTTTTGGCTATTTCTACAAATATACCCAAGCGACTTAAGACTGGTTTTGTGTTCCAGGGTCACAAATGTGTTTATAGCGCTAAATAATGGCCAATCCATTTTTAATTTTTTTATTTTAAGTATCGGTTAAGGCGATTTAAGTACAGTTTAAGTACAGTTTTTAAGTACAGTTTTAAAAGTATCGATTTGGCACAGGTATAAAAAAATAAAATAAAAAAAAACACGATACCCAACCCTATACAGTGGGTACGGAAAGTATTCAGACCCCCTTAAATTTTTCACTCTTTGTTATATTGCAGCCATTTGCTAAAATCATTTAAGTTAATTTTTTTTCCTCATTAATGTACACACAGCACCCCATATTGACAGAAAAACACAGAATCGTTGACATTTTTGCAGATTTATTAAAAAAGAAAAACTGAAATATCACATGGTCCTAAGTATTCAGACCCTTTGCTCAGTATTTAGTAGAAGCACCCTTTTGATCTAATACAGCCATGAGTCTTATTTTAGCAAATGGCTGCAATATAACAAAGAGTGAAAAACTGAAGGGGGTCTGAATACTTTCCACGGACACTGTATGTCTGGTGATATTTGTCTGTCTAAATGTCTTTTTTTTTTTTTAAGTTCTAAGCCCATAAACGGCTTAGGGGGTGAGGAACAATTAAAACAAATGTTGTATTTGATTTGAAGAGAGATTGTTTTTGAACATTTTCACAAAAATATTTCATGGCCCAAATCATGTTTTGTTGTATTTTGTCTTAACATGCCAAAAGAAAGAACAGGCCCTCTGCATACAAAACAAACAAATAAACAAACAAACAAAAAAAAAGCTGAGAAAATCACAAGTTCAAAATAAAAAGTTTTTGTCACAAGCTATGCCTGGATCTGATTCAGAATAATGATCAAAACATAGACAGAGTACATTGAAAATTAATTCTGTCCCCTCTTTTAGGATAAACTTGAGGTCCCGAGTGTTCTTAGAGTTTCTGTAGTGTTTTTATGCATTTGTTGATATCACTTTTTCAATAATAAATTCTCATATTTCTTATTTTTATATGGTGTCATTCTTTCTGGGGGTGAGGGGGGAAGAGCATGTGTGTGTGTGTGTGTGTGTGTGTGTGATATTCGTGGAAACAACATTGTTATAAAAACTGGAGGAAGTCTTTAATAATAAATTTTTTGTAGTTTTTAGTGAACCAATTAATGACATGAACAGTTATGCTAATCCAAGTAGCCTACTTAATTTAGCAAACAAGCTAATATTGCTTTGGTAAATTTTGTTGTTATTATTAATTAAATAAATATAGGTCTGTATTTCATATACATTTCCATTTGGAATCCAGAATCGGGCCAGTACCGGCTAATTGTATAATCTATGCTGGCGTGATTGTGGCCCGATGCCGGCAGTGTCGGCTCAGTTTCGGCAACCGGACTCGGGCCAGTGTACTCGGGCCGATTCTGGCGCGTCATTCACTCCCGTGATTCACAAGAGTCCGGCAACTGCATCCGGGCCGAGTTATTTCTTCCGGCATGCCGGATTTGGGCCGTTATTGGGCCAGATCTTTTTGGCTACCTGGTTGGCATATGTCCCATTCCCGGGTGCACCATGTGCTTGTTTATTAGTTCTTAACAGAAACATAGGAGGTAGTTCAGCCTTGCATATACAACTACAATTATATGTTAGACGAGATATGGTATGAGGTATGAGAAGAATAAAGACTTTTGTTATATCCAAGCAGTGATTAAATCTGTATCATGTTTGCTTTAGGGGTTTTAAATCTTCCAATGCCTAATTAATGATATTTTACCCCAAACATGACTGAGATTGAATGTCTGAGGTTGAATGTTGAAATGTCTGGGTTTGTAGTACTATTGTCTGTCTATCAAATTAACTCAAAAAAGAGAATTTGAATCACCAGGATCCCAAAAACAGGTGCTATTGAACACGCAAAGCTGCTAAGTGATGGAAGTTCGTAGGGATGGGCGATTTTCTCGATTAATTCGAATTATTTTTTTTGCCACGATTTTATTTTTTAGAAATCAAGGAATCACGGTTTTG